TGAATGCAACACCATTCCTCTTCAATTTGTCATTCCTGGCATAGTAAACCATGTATTTGTCATTTTGTCAGATTCAAAATGGCCAATACCAGTCCATTTCAGCTCACTAATGCCTAAGATATTGATGTTTATATGTTCCATTTCATTTATGACAATTTCTAATTTTCCTATTTCATACTTCGTACATTCCAAGTTCTGATTATCAATGGATATTTACAGCTGTTTCTCTTCATTATGAGTTGTGCCCCATCAGCACATGAAGGTCCTGTGGACTTTTCTCCCCGGGGGTTGGGCTTTACTCCATTTGCATCACCATGGTCAACTCTCTATGAGGAGGCAGCTCTTCCCCAGTTGCATTTTGAGTACCTTCAAAACTGAGGGGCTCATTTTCCAGCACTATATCTGACAGTGTTTCTCTGCTATTTATAAGGTTTTTAGTGAATAAAATATTTGCAAGTATTTGTCACTCCTTCTTCCTAGTTTGTCTTCATCTGGAAGCTCATCAAAAACCTCTCCACGATGGGTAACCCTGCTGGTATTTAAAATACCGGTGGCATAGCTTCTGGAATCACAGCAACTGACAAGCCGCCACAGTATGACAAACTGACAGATATGTGGTGGAGAAATATATATATATGGCGCACTGATAGCATAGTGGTTATGAATCGGGCTGCTATTCTCACGGTCAGCAGTTCGAAAGTACCAGTTGTTCCATGGGAGAAAGATGAGGCTTTCTGCTCCCATAAAGATTTACAGCCTCGGAAATGCTGTACAGGGTCGCTATGAGTTGGATTATACTCCATGGCACATAACAACAACAACAGCAACAACATATATACATGTATATATAATGTATGTTAACACTTCAGTGTTTAGTAAATTGTTGTTGGAAAATATTTCATACTGCATTTAGATACAAAAGACAAGTATAAAGTTATTATCACTACTTAACTAAAGAAGCTTCCAAATATAAGATCCTGATTGGTTGCCCTGGTCATTCACTGATGAAGTAATTGAAACCTTTAAAAATAGTAGCTTGAATTGCCTGGTACTTGTTACACTGCTCTCAAAGTAGAAAATAAGTCATAAGTCCTTTGTTTCAATAATTCCTTCATTACTTATTAAAAGACAACCTAGCATGCTATACTACAATATGCATTCTTGTATTTGATTTTAAATGTAAACTTTAGAATTTATACTTATGTTATCACATCTTAATAATAGCATGTTTACTTTCATAAGTATACTAAATGTCAGACTCATAATTTTTGCATATATATTCATACAGATAATCTTTTATTTTGTATATATACATCAAATCTTTTTGCTTTGTTTGTTTGTGAAATATAAGATGTAAATGGGGAGCACAGGGAAGAAGATAATTATAGCTGCTGGGAGGGAACTGTAATCATTGAAATGAAACAAAATGTATAATTAGTTGAATATTAAACTGATCATCTTGCCCTGTAAGTCTTCAATCAACTCACAATAAAAAGATAAAAAAAATTAAAAAGACCAGGTAACTGGTCAGAAAGAGACTAGAGGAACTTGAGACTATAGTTCTTGACCACCCTTCATGTCTGGTTCGGAACACATCCTTATGGCCCAATTTTCAGTCATGCAGTAGATGGGTACATAGGAGGGATAACAATACTATAATATATGTTCCCTATGGAATGCTCAATCATTCAAGATCAAAAGGGCAACATTTACCTAAGGACAAAGTTGAGAAGGGTGGAGAAGGAGTGTAGAATGAAAATAGGAACCATGGAGAAGAAAGAGGGATAGCTGTTGTTTCATAAAGAGGATTGCTATCATTGAGAAAAAAAGAAGTATATGTTTTGCTGAATGTAAAAGTGATAAACTTCTTTGTGAGCCTTCACTCAATTCATAATAGAAAGTTTAAAAAAAAAATAAGATAATGAAGGAAATATGTAGGGATGAAATGACATAATACTGGGATTTGCTTAGATAATTTTTGAAGATGAGTGATGGTAAATTTAATTATTTTCTCTAATCCTATATTTGTACCTATCCATATTTTTAAAAAATGTAATTCAAGAAATTTTAACTTACATTAGTGTATCGAGATAATTTTCTATCAAGTATCAATTCAACATCAGGAAAAGGAATATTAGTGTTCTTTAGTCTGGTAGATGTCCTCAGATGTACAACACAATTCTCATCTTGCAGAAAAGGCCCAACGTCAGGTAATTCCCAAATCACATTAAGGAAAATATCCTCTTCCTTACCCTTTAATAGAAATCCAACAAATACATGAAAATTAATCATTTGTTCTAAAATCCTAGGAATAAAAAAAAAAAAAAAAAGATTGTCTACTACAAAAACCCCACCCATTTTAATCAAATTTTTTCTGGTTAAGTGCTGTTGACTCAGTTCTACTCATCACAATGACCCTATATATGGTTTCCAAGGAACAGCTGGTGGGTTTGAACTGCTGATGTAGCAGTAAGCAGTCCAGTGTCTACTCTACAGTGTCACATCAGGACTTCTTTGGTTGTTGTTGTTACTGTCAAATCAGCTCTGACTCATAGCAACCTTATGTGTAACAGAATGAAATGTTGCTTGATCCTGTGCCATCTTCATGAGCTCTGTGTTGCCAATGTAATGGATTATCAAAACCAGATGTGAAGCAGAGAATGGGGAGTGCTGTGGAAGGGATGGCTGGTGTCAGAACAGAGTTAAGGATGGTTGTAGGGTGGAAGCATGTTTGACCATCACATTACAGAAATGTGCTTTGGGCTGTTGTTGAACTTGATTCTCCTTGTGAAGCCAGTGAAAATCAAACATGGCCCTCATGTAGTTTCAGTAGTGCCCATTCCAAAGAAAGGTGACACAATAGAATGTGGAAATCAGAAAACAATATTATCAACATTTCATGCAAGTGAAATTTTTTTAATAAAAATTCAAGCTGGATTCAGAAGAGAATCTGGAACTAGGGATATCATTAGTGACATCAGATGGATCTTGGTTGAAAGCAGAGATTATTAGAAAGATGTTTATTTGTGCTTCACTGACTATATAAAGGCATTCAACTGTGCAAATAATAACAAACTATGGATAACATTATGATGAATAGTACATAGTTTCCTCTATGGTACAAAGACCAAGAGGCAGTCCTTAGAACAGAGCAAAGGATACTGACTGGTCAAAAATCAGGAAAGGTGTGAGCCAATATCGTATCTTTTCAGCATACTTATTCAATTTATGTGCTGAGAAAATAATCCAAGAAACTGGATTATATGAAGAAGATGGACTCAATATTGAAACAAGGCTCATTAACAACCTGTGATATGCAAATGACTCAACCTTGTTTGCTGGCCATTGTGCATTCATGTTTTTAGGCCACGGTCCCTATGAAAGGCTGCTTGCAAAGGTTCAAGATACTTGTGGTGTATATCAGGCCAACTGACAACTCACCCATCTGCCTTCTCTTTCACTGTTTCATTCAGCTTTTTCTCCTAGTCAGTATTCAATGTATGTCTCTATATTTTCCTCTGAAGTTCAGGGTTCCAGGGTTATCTGTGTATCTATATATCTGTTCCATTTGATCTTTGTGCCTGTTGTAGTTCTGTGTAACATGTTTGCCTCATTGCCAGCTTTGGTTTCAGCTTATTGTGAACATGGCATTCAACTTTTTGCCTTGGACAGGACCTAAACCTTGACTTTCTGGTGAGTTTCTCAAACTGAAGCCCAGATTCCTTTAACAAATGGTCTCAGAGAAAATGCAGCAGTCTTGTTCTGATACTTAATTTTCCTCTCGTTCTTTTCACTTTCTCTTAAATTTTGATCTAGTTCTGGTATTTTATTACTATACTGCCAGCTCTTTAGCGTAGTGGTTACGAATTGGGCTGTGAACCGCAAGGTCAGCAGTTCGAAGCTACCAGCGGTTCCGTGGAAGAAAGATGAGGCATTCTGCTCCTGTAAAGATTTACAGCCTCGGAAACCCTATGCAGGGTCGCTATGAGTTGGAACCGACTCCACGGCACTTAACAACAACAACATAGTTGCTACTCATATTGACCCCATGTATGTCACACTATAACTGCACTCCATAGGATTTTCAATGGATACCACTTCTCCATCATAAGCTTCTGAAGGACTTTGGCAAATACTCATCATACTTATGACTCAGTATTAGTCATTCCCAGTAAACTGTAAGTTTCATGATAAAAGGAAACATATCTTTCTGGCCCATAGTCAATATTGGGCAAATGGTCATTGAAAAATGAATGAATGAAAATATCCTAGAAAATAAGTATGTAAATCATATTTTTGCTTTACTCAAAGTGATTTCCACATTATCCCCTTTCCAAAGTTAATAAAAAATCCTCACATACCAATCACATATTTACCGTTATCTGTATTACAAGAGATTCCTTAATTGTTTCAGTTCTTAATAAGCACCTACTCTTAGTATGGAGTCCTGGTATGGCACTGTAGGATAAATACTGGACTGATAACTTCAGTTCAAACCCATAAGCCACTCCTCAAAAACCCCACACAGGGTTGCTATAACGTAGAACCGATTTGACAGCACTTAACAACAACTCAACATAGCAAGAATATAATTATGAATAAAAGCTTTCCAGTCCTCATCAAACTCATAATGTACAGGTCTATAGACATGGAGAATCAGAGTAATCGAAACGAAAAGTCCATCATAGAACCCAAAACAATTTTGATGTGGGAACAGTCTCATTGTGATTTTTGTAGTCCCTAAAAAGGGAGTGTTTATGACAACAGATATTGTGTGTTGGAAAGAAAATTCTGATAAGGTGTTGGCAAAGAAGTTGCCATGAAATGCCAGAAGAAGAAACAAATTTGTCTTAAAGGAAAGTATAGACAGAATACTTCTTTTTATGTGCGATGGTGAGACTTCGTCTCTTATATTGTGAATGTGTTATCAGAAGGGACTAGTACCTGGAAAAGGATGTATCCACTGTTAGTTATGATCCACACAGTCAAATGCCTTTTGCTTGGATCCACAATCAATGCAATCAAGTTAAATGATATAGTGCATTAGACAAATCTGCTGCAAAAGTCTTCTTTCAATTATTAAAATGTGCCTGACTCAAGTCATGACTTACAGTCACCTCATATACATGTGATAGTTGGACAATGAATAAGGAATACCATAGATGTATTTTATTATGGTGTTGGGGAAGAATATTGTAAAGTACCATGGACTGCTAGAAGAACAAACAAATCTATCTTGAAAGAAGTACAGCCAGAATGCTCCTTAGAAGCAAGGACGACAAGACTTTCTCTCTTGTACTTAGAACATTTTCGCAGAAGGGACCAGTACCTAGAAAGGATATCATATTTGGTACAGTGAAGGGTCAGAAAAATAGAAAAGAAAAAAAAAGGAAGACCCTTTTTTTTGGACTGAGGCATAGGGTAGCTAGAGTCGGGACCAGTCAGGTAACACCTCACAAGTCATCTTAATCACAACTTGTACAAATGGGCTGCCCTATTCAAGAAATTTCCTCTGGTCTTATCTTCTAGAAGGGGACTATCAAAAGCAACAAGTCCTTGAGTTCTAGGTGATAGAGAGAGATGCACTCAATAGACAGGATAAATGAGCTAGCCTTCATTATAGATATGAAGCTTTCCTAGAAGGTAATAGAGTCACAGGAAAAACAATTAGCCAATCTGAATTCTCCCCAAACAGCTCTGAGCAGATGGTACGATTAACTTCAAAGTAGGGACAAACTTAAAAAGTAATGAGCATTCCTGGAGGCATAATGGCTTATAAGCAACCAAAAGAAAGCATTCCTACCTTTCCCAACAGGTCAGGCCCTGAATTATTTCCAAATGAGGGTACAGACAGTATTAGAAGTGCTAGCTATGTGTAAATTGAATCATTCTGATGCCCAATTTATAGGTTTCAGTAAATATTTCCAAATGAGGGTACAGACAGTGTTAGAAGTGCTAGCTATGTGTAAATTGAATCACTCTGATGCCCAATTTATAGGTTTCAGTAAATACTTCATGGCCAGGAATTTATGGTTGAGCAAGTGACTTGTTTTTGATTCTTGCTTGGATCTGACAAAATCAATTAGGTGCATCATAGGAAAGTTCATGGATATATACTCTTTTCAGTTGGCAGACAAGAGGAGAGTTAAGTAGGGTGACCCACAGAGTCATTTGATAATTCTAAAAGCAATTAGAGTACAAATTTTAAAAATGAGTTTGTAAACCTGGATCATTTTGATCTTCCCATTGCGCTCCAAGGCAAGGATCAAGTACTGGTGTTTCTCCTGAGATTTCAGGAAAAACAGGTCTTGTAGCCAGTGTTCTTCTTCCTTCCAGTCTTTTCCTTCAGGTAATACTTTCAGCTCTTGTCCACTGCCAAAGTCCCAGACTTTAACTGTTCCTGAGCACAAAGAGAAAAGACTATGTAGATAAATATGATCCAATTGAAAGCTTTCTACCAAGGCTATATTTCTCATTTTGGCCATACTAAAACTGAGGATACCACCACTTGTCTGTCAGCTTGTCCTGCTGTGGTGGATTGTGTATTGCAGAGATGCTGGAAGCCATGCCACTAGTAATTTCAATACCAGTAGGGTCTAAGGAGCTCTGGTAGTGTAGTGGTGACAAATCGGGCTGCTAACCTCAAGGTCGGGAGTTCGAAACTCCCAGCTGTTCCACAGGAGAAAGATGAGGCTTTCTGCTCCCATAAAGATTTGCAGCCTTGGAAACCTTGTGCAGGGTCGCTATGAGTCAGAACTGACTCCACGGCACTTAGCAACAACAACAGGGTCTTCCATGGTGGACAGATTTCAGTGACACATCTAGACTAATGCAGACTAGGAGGGAAAGGTAGACTACTTCTAGAAGTTTAGCTACTGAAAGTTTTATGATCAGTGGCAATGAAAACATGAATAGCAGAAGAATGTTTTCAGATAAAGTGCCAGAAAATGAGCTCCTAAGGTTGGAAGGCACTCAGAAGTATGATAGGGAAATAGCCACCTCCTCAAAGTGAAGCTGACCACAAACACATGGCTGGAACAAAGCTTCTGGAACCTTCATTTGCTGATGGGGTACAATGCAAAACGATGGAAACAGCTGCAAGCATCCAGTAATAATTTAACTAGGCAATGTATAAAGTATGAATCTAAGAAACTGCAAATTGTCAAAAACAAAATGAAATACAGAAGAATTGATATCCTAGGCACTAATGAGGTGAAATAGACTGATTTTGGCCATTTTGTATTTCAAAATCATATGGTTTACTGTGAATGGAACAGCAAATTCAAGAGGAATGGCTTTTCATTCATTGCCAAAAAAACATTTCAAGATCTAGCTTTAAGTACAATACTGTCTGTGATAGGATAATATCCAAATGCCTCCAAGGAAGACCAGTTAATACGACTATTATCCAAATTTATGCACCAACCACTGAAGCTGCTGCTGCTTGGTGCTGCGGTCACATAGTGACCCTGTATAGGTTTCCAAGGAGCAGCTGGTGGTTTGAACTGCTGACCTTGTGGTCCAATGCTGATCCTACAATGCCACAATAGGAGTCTAGTGATGATGAAACTGAAGAATTCTACCAACATATTCAGTGTGAAATTGATCAAACATGCAATCAAGATTCACTGATAATAACTAGTGATTAGAACATGAAAACTGGAAACAAAGAGGAAGGATCAGGAGTTGGAAAATATGACATTGGTAATAGAAATAATGCTGGAGAACACATGATCGTAACCTCAAGACCAATAATTTATTCATTGTAAATACCTTTTGTAAACAACATAAAAGGCAACCTAGACCTCACTAGAAGGAATACACAGGAATTAAATTCACTATGTCTGTGGGAACAGATGATGGAAACACTTAATATCATCTGTCAAAATAAGGCTAGGGATACAATGTGAAACACACCTCAACTGTTTAAATGCAACTTCAGGCTGAACCTGAAGAAAATGAAAACAAACTCATGAAAGCCAAAATATGACCTTGAACATATACCACTTGAACTTAGAGAACATCTCAAGAACAGATTTGATGCATTAAACACTAGTGACTGAAGGCTAAAAGAGTTGTGGGGTGTCATTAAGAACATCATATAGCAAGAAGGCAAAAAGTCACTAAAAAGAAAAATGAAAAAACAAACAAAATAGAGGTCAGAAGACACTCTTAAGACTTGCTCTTGAGCGTTAAAGAAGCTTAGTTGAATGGAAGAAGTGAGGTGGTAAAAGGGCTGCACAGAAAATTTCAAAGGGTAGCTCAAGAAAATAGCAGCATGTTACAATGAAATATGCAAAGGCCTGAAGTTAAAAAACAAAAAGGGAAGAAAATATACAGCATTTCTAACGTTGAAAGAATGGAAGAAAAAAACTCAAACCTCAATTTATTATACTGAAGGATTCTATGGGAAAAATAATGAAAGATGCAGAAATCATGAAAAGAAAATGGAAGGTTGCATCCATTAACCTTGAGATGAGAGAGAGAGAGAGAAAAGGATGGACTAGCAGGACTGAAGTTTAAGGAGTTGTGTGAACTCCTTTGCTTATGGGCATTAACCTAGCTCCTAAGTGCTAGGGCTGAGTGAAGGGGCTAGTTGGTCTGAAGTACAGGGAGATATGCTTGAACTCCCAAACTTTCAGCTGATACCCATTAGACCTAGCATGGATGGCTAGGGCTGAGTCGATTAGGACCCAACCAGATTAAGACAAAGGTGTTTGATACTGTGAGCAAGTGTAAATTGCTACAAATTGATGCATGAACTGGATGACTTTTGCTTATGGAAGCAATTGCTCAAAATTCCAACCAGAAGGGTAGACTCTTCATATCAAAGAACAGGTTTGTCTCCTCAGTGTACTGGTTTGATTGTTCTTGTTGTTAAGTGCTGTTGAGTAGGTTCTGACTCAGCTACCCTGCATAGGGTTTCCGAGCAGCTGGTGGATGAGAAATTTAGACATTGGTTATCAAAAATGGGAGGGATATAAAGGCATGAAGTGGCTGGCTTACAAGCTTTCATGGGTGTGCTTAGTTTTACAATGAGGGGGGTAAGTTAGAATTCTCACTTCATAGTTTTCCTCTTTTCCAGATGAATCTGGTGAAAGGGGTGGGTGATGATGGTGATAGAATTTTATGGCTCAATTGTGAGTAATTACTAGCGGGGTTAATTGTGATAGCCAAGCCTGCAATTGTAGAAGATGTATAAGTAAAAGGGTAGTTAATCTTTCACTTCAGCAACAGACGATCCCATGATCAAGAAGGAAGATCATGAGTGGAATGTGAGGTCTCGACCTAGCAAAGTTGCAACAACAGGGATGGTAGCAGAGGCAGTGGCTAGGAGAGACAGTGCAGTTGTGGGCACTAGGATAAATGACTGGGTATTCACAACCTCTATTGTTTGTTCAGTAACAAAGCCATTAAGCATTAAATAAATCCTCCCTGTAAATCAGCAGTGGAGTCTTTGGGTGATACAAATGGCACAGTGTTAGACTACTAGCCAAAAGACTGATAGTTTTAACCCAACTGGAGATGCTTCTGAAGACATGCCAGGAAACCTACTTCTGAAAGGTCACAATCTTGAAAAACTTATGCACACGAGGGTCACATGGTGATGTCATAAGTTAGAATTGACACAATGGCAACTAACAACCTAAGTATATCAGGGCAATAATAAGAACTGTGGAGGTGTGGGAACATGCATAGTCCTTGCTCTCAGTGACTTTTTTAGTCTTGGAGGAAGTAGTCATACAACAAACAATTAAAGGAAGTGATCATTTCATTCGTTATTTGGTTACCTGGACCACAGTGTAATGACCCCACCCTAGTAGCACAGTGGTTAAAAACCCACCAGTTATTCTGAGGAGAAAGATGAGGCAGTCTGCTCCCATAAAAATGTATAGCATCAGAACACTTTGGAGCAGTTCTTCTCTGTTCAGTTGGGTTGCTATGAGTTGGAATCTAATCAATGGCAGTGAATTGTTAGCTGGTTGGGAATTTTGGTAGTCAGATATATGGCAGAGGGCTAGGGTTAGCTACCACTCAGCTGATTTAAGTGATAGTTGGGCAAAAATGAGAAAGGACTAGTTGCTTGTGAGTCCTTTTCTTAGGTGTTTTAGGCCTTTGTCACTCAACATATGTTACTTTAAGGAGGACAAACTTTCAATACCTATTTTTTTTAATCCTACGCTTAAGAACTAACAAAGTTATATGACTTGCTTGCATGAAAATAATACTGCTACAGTCATATGTATGAATTGCTTAATGATTATGCCTGGTAATGATTGTAGTACTCAGAATTTCTATTATAAGTCCAACACTCATCTGTCAGTTTGTAGTACTATGGTGGCTTGTATGTTGCTGTGATGCTGGAAGCTATGCTGCTGGTATTTTAAATACCAACAGGGTCACCCATTGTGGACAGCTGAGGTTCCAGACTAAGACAGACTGGGAAGAAGAGGAGACAGACTAATTTAGAATATTTAGCCACTAAAAACTTATGACTAGCTGTGGAACACTGTCAGCACGAAAATACTGGATACTGAAATATTATGAATGGCATGAGAATGTTGTGAGATGTGGTGCTAGTAGGTGAGCCTCTCAGGTTGAAGACGCTCAAAATACAAGGGAAAAATGGGTGTCTTCAAATTACAGTTGACCGTGATGATATGAAGGGAGTAAAGTTTGGGGGACATTTATTTGCAGATAGGTAACAACTCAAAATGAGGAGAAAGAGCTGTAAATATTCATTAATCATCAGAACATAGAAATGGACAAAGTACGAATCTAGGAAAATTGGAAATTGT